GTTTAGGGGTTTAGGGATTGGGGGTTTAGAGACGGTTTGGGTTTAGGGTTTAAGGTTTGGGGTTTAGGTATAATAGGGTGCAAGGGAGCGAAGGAAGAGCAGCCATGGTTTAACACTCTCCATTCCTTCATTCCCTATTGGTTCGGGTTGGGGTTAGGGTTTAGGGCTTAGGAAAGTTTAGGGTTTAGGGTTTGGGGTTTGGGGCTTGGGGCTTGGGGCGTGGGGCTTGGGGCTTGGGGCTTGGGGTTTGGGGTTTAGGGTTTAGGTCCGCAGGAACCTGAAGCCCTTAAGCCTCAGCTCTTTGTATCAACCTCCTCTTTGCATCAACCTCCGGCATGCTTTTCGTGTGCTTCCGCGCATGGTGGAGCTCAGACGGGCGCTTCATACCTGACTCCTTGTTCCATTCCAGCCCGAAAGCTTCTACCCAAAGTGTTTGAATGCTTAGGGATGGAGGGCTCAAGAATCAAGGGTGCAGATGACCATCTTCCCGAGCCTGCAAGCGGGATGACCAGGACGTCGTACCTGGGCACACCAGGGCACCAAGACATCCAAGCTTTCAGCCCTCATGCGAATCAAGGCAAAATCTTTGTACTTTGCAGGTACACTATACCCTAACATGCCGCCATGGCAGCCTCAATGCCTCAATCCCTCCAAAGAGACCCTGGGAAAAAAGGCCCAGGCCCATCCAGCTTCGTGGAAGAGCCATCCCCCGTGATCGCAGCGCCCGCGGCCAGTCTGAGCAAACACAGGACTGCAGGGCTTTAAGGTTTAGGAGAGGGTTTCGGGAAGTAAGGGTTTGGGTGGCTTTTTGAGGTTTAGGTTTAGGACATCGGTTTGGGAAGTAAAGGCTTGTGACACTAGGTCACTAGGTGTGGTAAGCCACGCTGTTTCAGGGCACCTCTCTTGCACGAGTCGACAGCAGGGATGCCTGGTCAGGTACTTCTTATGGACCAAGAACTTGGTCCGCGAGAAGATGAGCAGATCCTGCACGATGCGAAGGTCAAACGTGGAAAAAATGGATAGCCCGCGCGACATCTACGCCGAGTGTCGGAACAGAAAGATCTACACCCCCCCCCCCCTCAACCTGCCCAATGCCTTCAACTCCCTGAATCTTCCAAAGCAAGAATTCACGGGCCCGACCCACTCTAAACCTTCGAGTCCTCGGAGAAAGCTCCAAGCCTGTTACTCTGAAACCCTAAACGAACTCTAAGCTCCGAAGCTCTAAAGCCTGCACCCTGAAGCCCAGTCCCTCAATCCTGAAACCCATACAACCGTTCACCTACAACCGTTCAGGGTTTGGGGGTTTGAACAAGGGTTTATAAGGTTTAAAGGGTTTTGAGTGCCGTTTTAGGGTTTATAGGGGGTCCCTGAAACCCTCAACTCTCAACCGTGCTGCTGGGGCATCCTGGCAACCAACAGCCATCAGGGCTGCCATGGCCTGCTTTTGGGGAGGGGGACGTGGGGCTTGAAGACGAACTGGGGCTCTGGGCCTTAGGCGCTAAGGGTTTAGCTAGGTGTTGATGAAGGGGCTTAAGTCAGGCTGCCTTACTAAACCTAAACCCTAAACCCTAATCTGTAATGCTGCAAGCCTTTCTTCAGCACTATCAAGTCTAAGGAGCTCCTTAAACGGGCTTAGGCCTTAGGGCCTTAGGGTTTAGGATTGAAGACTAAACAATCCCTATGCCCAGGACATACAGCCTCAGGAGGCTTATGGTGGAGTCCCTTGGCTTCAGGTCAAGCTGAACACGAACAGACACCTCCAACCACCGACATCTGAAAGAAGGCCAAGATGAAACTTGCAAGCCTCAAACAACGAACCCCCACCTCCTTGCCAACCACCCTAAGCCCTAAACACCTCCAAAAGAAGCAGCAACAAAGCAACTCTGTCCTCGGGCGAGGGAGCTGAGGCCCCTGGGATCTCCTTCCAGGGCTTCGCAGGGTTTCGGGAAGGTGTTTTAGGGATAGAGCAAAGGGCTTAGGGTTAGGGTAGGTACCTAGGGAAGCTTGGGGAGTACTAGGGGATCTCGGGTAACATGCCAGCACAGGGTTTAGGGTTTTGGGTTGTGCGGTCTTGGTCTTGGTTCGGCTTCGAGAGGTTGTTTGAGGGATTTAGGGGTCCAGGGCTTTCGGGGTGCAGCGCTTTGTAGGGTGCTGTGAGCTTGCCAGTCGCGAAACCCCGCCTCTGAACCCGAAACCCTAAACCCATTCACACAAAACCCAAAACTCTCTACCCTTTCTTTCTAGCATCCCAGAAATCCCGAAACCCGAAGCCCCCTTGCCAGGGTTCCAGAAGCGCCCAGCGCAGGGTAGCCGGAGAGCTGCCAGGGGAGTGCTCGACCTTCTGCCTCGGTGTTTTTTGGGCTGGAGGCTTACAAGCCTTATGGGCTTTTAGCTTAGGCTTTGCGGAGTTTGGAGCTTTAGGGTTGGGCTTAGTGTTTACGGCTTAGTTCCTACGGTTGCCGGTTGAGGGTGTAGCTTTCAAAGTGTTTAAAACGTTTAGAGGTGGTGTAAAGGAGCCACGGAAGACAACACCCTTGAACCCCAGGACCCAAGCATTCCTGAGGCCGTGGGCATTGCAGTCTCAGCGGTGGCAGGCAGTGCCAGGGAGGTGCTGCCTCTTCCAGTCTTGGAGTTAGGGAGATTGCAGGTGTTCGATGACATTTTGGCCGACGAAGACGAGCCCAAGTGGCCTAGCTCAGCAGTCTTAGCCCTGGCACATCGCGGAAAATGGCCCTTTCCGACTCCGGAGGGAATCAAAAGCATCTCGCCCTCAACCTCAAACCCGAACCCTTGAGCTCTGAGCCCTAGATCCTAAAACCCCTAAGCCCTAAACACTGAACCCTTCAATCCTATACCCTGACCTGAGCCCTCAGCCACCCCCCAAAACGAACTCCTGGAGGCCTTCCTTTTGGGCGAGCATCCGCTGGACCGGCGACGACGACCGCTCCTCATGCTTTGAGGATGGGAGTTTGGGGCTTGGGTTGGGATGTTCCCCCGGGGTTTAGGGTTAGGGTTTATAGGGGGTTTAGGGTTAAAGCTTACAGGGTTTAGGGCCTAAGGCGTGTCCAGGATATTGTGCACCTTTCGTTCAAGCACTCCCGAACGTGTTAGGGATTCCTTCTGATATGGGGGGTCACCCTGAAAGTTGCGACAGTGACGTTTTGGGGGGTTTAGCTTCTTCACCTGAAAGCGGACCTGGAGTGAAACTCCGAAGCAAGAAGTTCTCTAGTTAACCTTCGCGGGGATGATAGTCCAGAAAAGGGTTAAAGGCTAGCTACTAAGCAGATACGAAGGAAGCTGCCCAAAACCACCGGTCTCATAGCCTGGCTGGGTTTAGGACTTGAGGTTCGAGGTGTTCCTGGGCTTTGTGCGTTTTAGGCTGGGGCGGGGGGGGGGTCTCGGGGTTTCCTACTAGGGCGCCCGACGTAGAGGCTCGGAACGGGGGTGAAGATCTCGCCCTTCTTGTCACTTTCCTTTCGGCCGAGCAGAGGCTTCAAAGTCAGGGTCCCTGAATCACAAGCCTTACTAACCCTACAACCAAAACCCGACCCAAAACCCCAACCTGAAACTCCTAAAGCGCTATGAGTGGATCAGCAGTCGCTGGTTTAGGGTCTCAGGCTTGAAGACTTCCGGGTTTGGGCTTCAGCATCCGGGACATTAGCCCTGAATATTTGACGTAAACAACACGTAGATCGTGGCAAGCACTCCAAACGGCCTGCACGTAGCCCGGCTTCTTTGGCAGGCCTTGGCGTGTCTCTGTGAAGCAGATCTGCAAGCATTGGCAACGAGATTCTGGGCTTCGCCTTATGCGCGACTTTGGTTGGTAACTCTTGCAGCAGGAGGAGGAGGAGGAGGAAGAGGAGAAGGAGGAGGAGGAGGAGCAGGAGCAGGAGCAGGAGCAGGAGCAGGAGGAAGAGGAAGAGGAAAAGGAAGAGGAAAAGGAAGAGGAAGAGGAGGATGAGGAGGAGGAGCACGAGCATGAGCATGAGCATGAGCATGAGGATGCCGATTATCAGAGTGAGGATGAGGAGGAGTTGGAGGAGGACGACGACGATGACGATGGCAACGACAATGATATGAAGAAGTAGAAGAATGGTGATGATGATGAAGAGTATTCGCGGGCATCCGCGGGCTATGTAATCCTCTCCCCAAGGTACAAACACCAAGCCTGCAAAAACCACGAACCGGGCACCGCACTCGACATCGGGTCTGGGGGGAGTGGTCCGGGTTGCCAAGTCACCTGCCAAGATTGGCTTGCTTGAACGCTCTGTTAAAACACGGAGGATCCCGAGCTTTGCTTTCATGAAATAGACTCGAAGAGCGATGGGCACTCCAACCCTCAACCCTATTCATCCTCCCATCTCATGTTCGGACAGCCTTACTCTGGCCACGAGCAAAGCATATCGTGGCCCCACGAAATGCAGGACGGCGATACATCGGCAAGGACCGGAAGGGTAAAGCCCACGATTTGTTCCAAGGCCAAGTCCTCGTAGCGTGACTTATTTGGGGGGCTGAATTAGGGGTTCCCAGTTTGCCGGGGGTTTAGCGTTTTGGGTGAGGGTGATTGAGGGTTCCGATTTGGGAGATTCTGATGTTTGGGACTTTACAGGCTTTTGCCGCATTCAGGAGGGAGATGCAAATCCTCCCCTTCCCTCTCGCCAGACATGGTCTACAGAGTCTACCTATACAGTTCACATGATACTGATCTGGCCTTGTGCTGGATGTGGTTTGATCCTGTCAGGCCTCATGACGCTTGGTGACCCTGACGACAACCTAATTGCGGCATGATGGGCACCGTTCCTTTCTCACACGACACAACTTGTCGGAACGCTGCCCAGGAAACTGCTGGAGATCAGCCGGCAAACTGTTCCGTGCTGCAAAGTCTTGTGGCAAGAAACACTTTCCAAAAACTGAACAGATCTTGGCATGCTGCTACCTGGTACTACCTGCTTTCAGGCAAGCCTGCGGATCACACATAGACGACTCAGCCCCCCTACGCCCTACGCTCCTCCTAGCGAAGGCTTCAGACTGTTTGTAATCTGCTTGAAGGTGTTGAAGATCTTGTCATAGCGAAGCGGTGTCACCATGTTCCGCACCGAGTAATTGGGTGGAAAGCATCCGTGCTGAGACATCCAGACGATCATCTCGTCAATCGCCATGCTCATAGTCCAGAGGTCTTGCAGCATCTGCTTTGTCAATATCTGCCGACGCTCTGTTCGGCTGTCGGCTAGATTACAAAGCCGATCGGCGGTGTCCTTGACGGCATCCACAGCCATCCTCGTACCGTGCCACATGGCCTGATGTTGCTCCATCTCGATCTTTACAAGCGACTGGGCCTTGGCCTGGATATCATTGTCCCTTCTCCTCTGAGCACACCAAGAAGACCACAACCATGCACTTCCACCCACGAGCCATGCACCGGCCGTATAGGGAAGGCAAAAACTTACGATTGCCACTTCCTCCTCGGAAAACCAGTACTTGCCAAAGTAGGCCTTCCAAAGCAAGCCAAGACTGCCCACGGAACTCATGGCAGCCACAACCGAAGCAAGAGCTCCAAACCGAGACTTCAAGGCGTCCATCCGTGAGCCCTCATAAAAACGCACAACCTTCTGGAAATGCATCTTCGATTGAAGTTGGTATTCTTGCTCCTGAGTTGCAAACTCTGTCCCGATGTTCTGGATGGCAGCCTGATGTCAGGTGACAGCATTACTCAGAGTGGCTTTCAGAACGCTCGGCGCGCAGTCTTCTAGCCTCTAATTGCTGGGGGCAAGAAAAGATTCAGGGATAAAGAAAGGGTCTTACCTACTTCCTGGGACCTACTTCCTCAGTCAGTCCTGCAGCTCCTTATGGCCATCCTGCTGCATGTTGTGGTCAACTCTTGTGGCACTGAGCAGCTCCACCAAGGTATGTGCCATGGCCATAATGTTTCCTCGGAGGCTCCGGACACGCCGAACGGAGACCTCCTGGTACTTGTGGCAGAGCGCATCGAGCTCGACCTTTGCTGCCGGATTGGCAGCGAACGCCAGCTGCCGGATCTCTGCCGCTGCGTTGCTTGACCACAGCTCGGGATTCTGCAGCCTTTGCTGTGCGTCGGACAGGTACTGCATCTGCATCTCCTCACCAAGGTTCATGGCCAAGAATGGGTCGGGCATCACATCGGCCTGCTGACTTGTCACAGGCGTAGCGGATGCCACGTCGGCCTGCTGACTTGTCACAACTGAGAAATCATCGGAAGAGGCTTCCGAGGCAGCTGCACCCACCATGACTAGCAAATCACACCAGGCGGAACAGCGGGTCACGGCGAGCTTGGGCTGCGTTCGCTGGAGCAAACAAGCTTTTCGGCAGCAAGGCAGCAAGTCACCGTCGGCTGTGCGCGAGTGTGAGAGTCAAGGAAGCATCTCCACGACGATGCTCGTGCCGTGCCAGGACTGCTCAATGGCTTCGAAAGCCAGCAACCACTAGTCATCGATGCAACATGACTGCTGAAATGGAGACCCAAACCTTTTTTGTGCCGTGAATCCCCCCCCCCTTCTCCTCCCAGGTCGCCCCACGCTGATTTGGCTTTCGGCCTCGGCGCAGGATGCTCAGTTGGGGTCCAAGGAGGGGGGGTGCAAAGAGCGTGTTGACTGTAAAAATGCATCTTGAACGGCTTGCAGGGTGTGTAAGCTTTACAGAACATTCTCGGGTCGGGTCTTCTGCACTCACGTACTATCTCTTCCGTTCCTACGCTCCCAGGGTGAAAACGATCGATCCCCTTGAAGTGAGCAGCGAGCAGCACGGAACTCGAAAAATGAGCTCCTCGCCTTTAAGGCTGCGTGGCCTCGCGGCGTTGCTGCGAAGTTGGGAGGGGGGGAGGAGGTAGAGGGGTTTTTGCTTTAGGACTCTTATGTGGGCTGTTCGGCAAGCAGCAGCTGAAGTTCTAGTACTGCTGGGTGTCAATAAATCCGAGGAAGGACAGGACAGTCAGCAGCGTTTGCGTTCCCATAAGACCTCTCGCCCCCAGCCGAAATCATCCGAGCCCACCAATGTACAAGCCATCGAAGAAAAAAAAAACCATCGACCAACTGGGCCTGCTCTCCTCCACCTTGGGGCTGGCTCGGAACGCGTGGACTCCTGCAGGGGGTTCCGGTTGTGGGACTTTCGTTTTGGGGCTACCGAAAGCCCACAAGGTTTGTAGGGCCTTGTGTCCCTTAACCCCCAAGCCCTGAACTCGAAACCCTAGTTAACCCCGAAACTCTGAACCCGCAACTGCCACCCCCCCCCCCCCCCCCCCCCCCGGAATAAACACAACAGTTAGAGGGAGGACACCAACCCTCAACCCTTGCCAGCGCCGTGCTTTAGCATGTACAGGAGATGGGACTCTGACTGAGGAATCCCCGAAGGTTGAACTTTGAAAAGAAGCATCCTTGTTTGGGGAGAGGAAGTCAATCTTTTTGTAAGCTTGAAACTTGAAGCATGAAAACCCCTCGAAAGCCCTGTCTTGGGCCCTAAGCCCTGCAAATGAAACCTGGCGTTCGCGGCCCCCGAAAGCCTTCAAGCTTCAAGCTTCGAACCGAACACCCACAACCGTTGAAGCCCTGACTGCCGGTTAGGTCTGGGAGAACTCTCAACGTGGAAAGTTGAAGCCTATAGAAGGTTGAACACCAAAAGCCACCAAATGTACCCATGCACCGGGCTTGAGACCTTACTTTGAGGCACAATAATTTAGGGTGCGAGGCTGACCAGCACCAAGTACAAAGCCAAGGAAGTCAGAAATGCGTCCCAAAACATATGCCGATACCATCTCTTTCCTTTTGGGCTTGCTGGTCGGACTGTACATGAGCGACTCACCTCGGCTTCTTAAGTGCGAAGACACCGGCCAACAACCAAGCATGGAGGATAAAGCCACGCTACTTCTGAAGCGGTGAATCCTCCTCCTCAAGGTAAATAACCTTGTTCATGGTTGGGATGGTCTTTAAATATCTTGATTTGTTGTTCCTTATTGGGCTTAAGTATCCTTAGAAATGTAAAATGATAACCAACTATGACCAAGTAACGAAGGCTTCCCGGGTCAGCGGTTCTGGTGCAGGAGTCTCGGGCGGCTCTGGCGCAAGGCTCGGTTCGACTCGAGCTCGCATTGCAAAGAGGAAGTGGGCAATCTGTAGCCTGGGGGCGGGGTTTGGCGGGCCGGTCATTAAACAAGCGAAAAAACTCCATGGGTTCATGGGGCTATATAGAGATTGGTGATTGGGGCCCATAGGACATTCAAACTTATTCCAAATCAACTCCAGTCCCAGCGGCATGTGGCGGGTGCTGTACTTGCTCTTCGTGGTGTTGAAGTGCAGCGTTGAGGGCAACACGCCCTCCTCTCCAGCAGGTGCTTCAAAGAACACGGCGCATGTGAAGTGGTTACCCACATCTATACAGGCAATCCGTGGAAATCCGATGGTGGCCGCATGTCCTGCCTCCCACTCATCTGCACGCAGCAGCAGGCGTCTGTTGGGCACTTCGATGATAACGGAGCGATCACCCTGTGCTGGGTCGAAGTGGATCCCCTCACTCCCACTCTCGGTGGCCACCTTCCGACCACCGAAGCGCTGCTCCTCGGGTAGCCGTTCCCGCTCCTCGTGCGTGGCATCGCCATATGCCGGCCACTGATTCTCCCGCAAGAACACGATCTGGTCAAGGAAAGCATCAGACACTCCTTTTGCTCGCTGCTGTGCGCAGTAGTCCCTGAGAACGTCGGAGAGCTCGTAGTTCGCATACCAGGCTCCCAGGTATTGCTTTTGGACGCCCGGCTCATCAAACTGCGAAGAGTGATCTTTCATGTATCCTGTGCGGCAGCTGTGGATCTGCTGCATGATGGACTCAACTCGCGGCCGCATTAAGTCGAGGGAGCAGAGGGGCGCCGAGGCAAGGTCGGCCATGATGTCCGGTGTGTGGGGCACCCCTGCCACCGCCAGGGGCCCGGACACAAGGGTCTCGAAGAGCAGCTCCGTGCCAGCCACAGCCAAGGCCCCGCAGAAGCCGCTCGGGGCACTCCAATGCTTGAGCAAAGGCTTGAAAGAGCCATGGAACTGGTCCAGGGTGAAGAACTCTCCAATCTGCCCCTGGGGCAGCAGGCTTCCCACCCCTGCCGTCAGGCGGCGACAGCAACGCAGAGTGGCATCATCCACCAAGTCCTCCAAGGGCAGCTGCGTGGTGGGAGGTGGGCTGAACTCCGCAATCCATCGGCGCCGGACGACTGCAGGGCTTGGACCAGGAGCCTCCGACATGAGCTTCTCTACGTTCCGTGCGGTATATAGGGTTCCGAAAAAGGGGAGGTACCCGTTTGAGTTTGAGGGGGATCCCTTTAAGGAGATTCTATTCTATTTGGGGTATCAAAGGGGTACCCCTATTTTGGGGAAATGCTCAAAACAAGTTGGGGAACATGGCAGACTGTCACAACATGATGTCGTGCTTAATGCATGCTGCCACTTGTGATGACAGCGCACGGTTCGCAACGCGAGCTTGCTGTAAGCCATGGTTCCACAGCAGCAACAGCTCGCGGCCTCTATCTCACACATGGCGAAAAGGCAAAAATTGCTGGCACACGCGCTTTTGTAACCCGGGTTCAATTCAGATTTGAAAGGTTTCCGGGGGGGGGGGGGGGGGCACGTCCTGTTGCATTTGCGGCGGTGGTACTCTGAGTGAACCCAAGCCTCCGCTAACAATGCTTGAACCCTGCTTCCGAGGAGCCAAAACCAAGAACCCCTACCCTCCATCCAGCCCCGACAAACAGGTCATAAAATATCTGCATATGTGTAGATATGTGTCATGTACATATGTCTATATAGATAGATAGATAGATAGATAGATAGATCTACACTTATATAGACTAACAATACTCATACAACAATACCAATACCCTATCAGCCCAAAATAAAATTAACAAACCCCCAAACCCTCAGAGCCAGCGCTTGGAGCCTTGGGATTGGAATCGGGGGCTGCGAATGGCGACCTCCTGCAATCCGGGACCAGTTCGTGAAGCTGGGTTCGGATTTCAATCGGGGGTTTGGGGGTTTGGGCGGGTTGGGGGGGGGGGGGGGGCCCTGTTTCCCCGTGACTGAGGCTTAGGGCTTAGGATTGGGAATTGAAGGTTTATTTCGGAGATAAAGAACTTGGATTGTTCTAGGAGCTTTGAGGTTAGGGTCTACGGGAACTTGCCTGATGTGCTTCCTGAACCACTGCCAATCCTGAGTGGCTTTGCAGTGCGCAGCTACGGCAAAGCAGTCACCAAACCTCATAGTGTTGCAACTGTCACGGACAGAGTTCATGAGTACCTTGGGTGTTTTTGGCAAATGTTGGCATTTTCTGTTGAGAACCCACCAAAAAAACCGACCTCCCTGAGACCTCGCGTTCCTGAGCCGACCAGCCCCGCCAAGATGAACAGCATCAAGACCCAAGCCTAAACCCTGAACCTCTATATATGTGTACGCAGATGTTTATGAATATATGTATATATATATGTGTACATGTATGTATGTACATATATATGTGCCATGGACCTTTAGGTATAATGTGATCTCTTGCTTTGGGTTTTACTTCAACAGTATTAACAGTTATCAAATGAGTAGTTTGCGTTTCATATTATGCATAATGCTACTAGAAAGTAGGTGACATTTATGGCTTTTGGGTTCATGGTCTAGGGTTGTGCATTCAACGGTTATAAAAGGATTGTACGAACAGTCCAGGGTTTAATGACTCCTTCCTGTTGTCGAGGAGAAAAGGGGTCGGATAACAGGAGAAGATCAAGGAACCATAGAACTGTGTTACATTCAGTCACTATTCACTTTACTCTCACTACCTTCATCCACCGTCTCCTCTTTTCTCGCGCTCTCTCTCTCTCTCTCTCTCTCTCTCTCGCGCTCTCTCTCTCTTGGCTCTTCTTACCGAGGAGAATAATGGCTACATATAAGGAACACATGTCAATCTCAACCCGTTCATCCTCCCTCTTCTGTCTGCTCTCTCACTTCTAGCTTTTGTCTCTTCTTGTTTTGCTTATGGAGGAGAGAATACATAACACTAGATGAGCGAAGCGCATGGACGGGAAGAGCGAGAAGCAAGTAGTTGTTTGTTGCATAGGGGAGGCCCACTCTCCCCCTAGAGCAGGGCCCCTGTTCCCTCCCCTTTGCCTTCTTTAGTCCCTCCCCTGCGCTCCATCCAACTGTTCTGTTCCGTTCTTTTAGGGAGAAAGAAGGGGTAAAGAAGAAGGACGAAGACGGTTCCCCTGTCCACTTGTGCATGTTCTTTTTATCTACAGGAGTTAGCAAGAGTGTTTAAGCAAGCTAGATAAAGAGAACAACAAGAACAAGGACGAGGAAACCACGAGCAGCATGTACAAGGAAAAGCACGAGGAATGAAATCCCATCGCAAAGATAAGTGCCCACACTCAGTCTCACTGCATTCATCCTCTAATCCTCTCTTCCTTCTCTTCTGTGGTTCTCTTCTTGTCCTCCTGCTTCTCTCTGCTCTCTCCCTTCTAGCTTGTGTCTCTTCTTGATTTTCTTGCACGAGAGAGAATGCAAAACACTAGATGAGCGAAGAACATGGACGGGAAGAGGAGAGAGAAGCAAGTAGTTGTTTGTTGCGTAAGGAGGCCCACTCTCCCCCTAGGGCAGGGATGAGTTCCCCTGTTCCCTTCCTCTTGCCTTCTTTAATCTCTCCCCTGCGTTCCAACTTTTCCGTTCCTTCGTTTACGGAGACAGAAAGTTGTATATACAAGGACGAAGACGGTTCCCCTGTCCAGCATGTTTTTTTGATCTTCCCATTCAGCGAGAAAGGAACAGACAACAGGGGAAAACACAAGGAACTAACAAGAGAGTTTAAGCAAGCTAGATAACAACAAGAAAAAGAAAGAAGAAGCCACGAGCAGAATGTACAAGAAACACACAAGGAAGGAATAACAAATGATAAAGACAAGCGCCCTTTCTCAGTCTCACTGCATTCATCCTCCATGCAGTTCTCTTGTTACATAATGAAGATTTAAGAACACAAACCAATCTCACCAGATTCATCCTCCCTCTTCTCTCTGCTCTCTCCCTTCTAGCTATTGTCTCGTCCTGTTTTTCTTATGGAGGAGAGAATGCACAACATTAGATGAGCGACGCGCGTGGACGGGAAGAGAGAGAAGCAAGTACTTGGGACGCCCACTCTCCCCTAGGGCAGGGATGAGTTCCCCTGTTCCCGTCCTTTTGCCTTCTTTAATCTCTCCCCTGCGTTCCAACTTTTCCGTTCCTTCGTTTAAGGAGAAAGAAGGGGGTATATACAAGGACGAAGACGGTTCCCCTGTGCCCCTGTCCAGCATGTGCTTTTGATCTTCCCACTCAGCGAGAAAGGAACAGACAACAAGAGGAAAACAACAAACCTTTGACTAACGTGCGGTTCTGTCAGGAGAAAAAGGAGTCGGATAACAGGAGGAGAAGAACAAGGAAGAGATAAACATGAAAATATGTCACTCTTCTATTTACACACTCTCCTCATCTCTCCTCTCTTCCCTTTCTTGCCTGTTGGAGAAGAAATGATGAAGAAAATAAACCAAAAACTAAGGGGGAGGCGCCCTGATTCATTCTCACCGCCTTCATCCATCCTCTCCTCTGCTCTCTTATCTTGCTCTCTTATCTCTCTTCTCGAGCTCTGTTCTTGCCGGAAAGAAAGATGAATGTCCAAGAAGTTTTTGGAAAATGGAGCTCCCAAAATGACAAATCGCAAGCAGTGTCCCCTTTAAGGTTTTTGGAAAACTGAGCTCCCAAAATGACAAATCGCAAGCAGCGTCCCCCTTAAGTGTTTGGACAATTGAGCTCCCAAAATGATGAATCGCAAGCAGTGTCCCCCCTAAAGCTTCTGGAAACCTGAGCGCCCAAAATGACAATTCGCAAGCAGTGTGCCCCTTAAGCTTTTGGAAAACGTAGCTCCCAAAATGTCAAATCGCAAGCAGTGTCCCCCGTAAGTTTTTGAAAAATGGAGCTCCCAAAATGACAAATCCCAAGCAGTGTCCCCCTGTTCTTTTTTTGCAAAACCGAACTTCCAAAATGACAAATCGCAAGCAGTGTCCCCCTTGCTGTAAGTTTTTGGAACACTGAGCTCCCGCATAAATATTCAAGGTTAGATAGTTTAGATAGTTTAGGTGGTTCCGGGCCTTTCTACCCTGTCCCCCTGGCCCCCCCCTGGCCCGCCTGGCGCCCCTCGGGCTTTGCCCATGGCAAAGAGAAGACGGTACTCGTCTTCGTCTTTCCTCTCTTTCTTGTCTTTCTTCTCTCTTGTTCGTTTGCCTTTGGAATAAGAAACCAAAGGAAGAACAACGAAAATGAAAGGAACTCGCTTTCGAAAAGAACCGAGGAGATAGGGCAAGAGGAGGGATATGCTGAAGCATGGACAGGGGCCACGTCGCTTTCCCCAACCATTGAAAAAGGATAAGAAAAGAAAAGGGCCTCCATTCCCCTGTGTTTTCCCCGTTTCTTGTGTTTTTTTGTCGTTGAAGAGGAGGGAGAGAGAAGGAGGAGGAGAAATAGACAGGATTACATTTTTGACAGGAAGAGCAAAGGCAACAATAGAAGAGAGATGAATAAAGGGGAAGGAAAGACAAAACAAGGCACAGAGAAGATGGAACTTATCGATCCTCTCTCCCTTATCTCTCCCTTCCCTCTTCCTTGTCGAAATAAGGAAAACAAAAAGGAAGAATTATGACAAAGGAGAAGGGTAAGGAAAGGAACAGAAGAGATAGGCCGAGAAGTGGGATATGATGAAGTACGGCAAGGTCCACGTGCAAGGAGTCAGCAGCTTTATGATTCAAGTTCCTTTCTTGTTTGTTAATCAGCTGAAAGGCAATAGACGGAGAGAAGGGAAAGGGAAGTGAGAGAGGAGAGATCACAACGACGCCTTTTTTATGGAAGCGTACTGCAAGCGCCTGCTTCCATCGCGCATAGAGTGAGATAGAGAGACTGAGAGACCGAGAATGAGTGAGTGGGAGATAGAGGTAGGGACAGGGAAAGAGAGAAAGCTAAAGAAAGAGCGAAAGAAAGAACGATAGCGACAGGGATAGAGACAGAGAGAGACATTGTTGTTGTTGTTGTTGTTTTTTTGTTCGGGGGCGTCCTTTTCTCTCGCTTGAAGATGCAGAAAACAATCCAAAGGGACACCCGTTCCATCGCCCATGGCAGAGAGAAGATCGTACTTGTCTTCATCTTTCTTCTCTTGTCTTTGTTCTCTCGTGTTCGTTTCCCTTTCAAATCAAAAA